GAAAAAATATGGTTTATCTACGCGGAACCAAGAAAATTTTATTACAATAGACATAACAATTTACAAAACCATGCGGAAACCGCTTTTGGCTTGCAGTCAATAGTTTCTCTTCAGCGGTTACAAAGTGTCAGAGACTTTTTTTTGTACAATATTTTGAGCAGGGAAAGTGTTAAGGTAGAAATTAACGAAGGCTCCGTACGCCATGTGGGGTTATTAGCAGTTGTAAAAAATCTCAAACTGGTTCTTGTAGAAGTCAATCGAACTTCTAGTGAGCTGTGCCACATAATATGGATGATCCTGGTACCTACTATTGGCACTTATGTGTCATTTACATAGCGTGGTATCCTGTGCAAGCAACATTCAACGAGCTCATTGACACCCTTCAGAGCTCTTTTTCGCGATAAATAAAGTAATTGGAGTTGCAGCAACGTTAATCGCAGCTGGAGGGCTCTTGTGGAGTACAAGAGTTTGGAGGATGACTCAAACTACAATACAATAACTACTGGGGGTATTTTTTTTAATGCGAGACTGGACTTTTAGATATCCGTTATTTACCAAATAGTAGCGGTAAATGATCATAAAGTAAATTGACCCCTTTTGTAGGGCATTTAATTTTCTAAAAGAATATGTATCTAGGAATCTACTCTAACATTTGTAACTCCTTATTTTGAACTTCTCAGTTTTTATGTTACTGAATTTTTGATTTTTTTAATTTCAAATATTTTCATTATATTTCGTTTCATTTTCATTTTCAAAATAATTTTTAATTAAAAATAAATGTTTTTCTGTGTTTATATATATATATGTATATAGATTTATTTATGTATCTATAATGTACTCTCCATAATATTCAAGTAAAAAGCGAAGTTAAAAAGCTGATTTTGATCTTGAATTTTCTCTTAGGCTATAAACTAAAGAATGAGTTCGTACTGGAAGAAAGAAAAAAACACCTTGGTTAATAATAGACACTCTACTGGTTGTTTAAATAGTAGTTGTTGGTTTTGAGTATATATAAAATTCTAAATTTTCCAATTTTTTTATTTCTAAATTTTTATGTTAATTTAAATAATTTAACTCATTAAATATATGTACAAATGTGTGTAGCCCATAAACTGACTTAAATTGGTTTATGAAAATATGAATCAGCAGCTGCAGCTTGAATTGATCAAATTTTTTGCGCCATAGCAGACAAGAGGTCTGCAATTATTTATTGATTAAGAAACACTCATACTCGTATATAACTAAATATAGTCGTATATAACTAAATATATATACACTTGTTGCTTTGTAACCACCGAAGCGGTGCTCCTCCTACAATTTGGCATTAAATTATTTATTTATATATATATTTATTCTATATAGTGCATGTGTATGTACATATTATACATAGAACTATATGTATATACACACATGTACCCTTAGTTAATTATCATTAGATTAATAATGCACAACAGACAAATGGGCAGACAAACAAAGTGACTCAACCAAATGTTGGCCACAGTGAATGGAATAAAATAAAGAAAAAATATAAAAAAATAATTAATCTTTAAATTGGCACATATTTACGATTATTGAGCTTAAGTAGCTAATATATGCACGAACAATATATGCAAAAATTAAAAGAAAAAAAAACTATAAAGTAACTAAAAAAAAAATTCTAGATAATAAAAGGAAGGCAAATAAATGAATAATTATTTTAAATATTTCCTAACCTAAATTTTTTTTTGGTCGCACAAAGTGTCAAAAAATTAATATGACAACAAGAATATGGCAAGCATTCATCATGTGACCCACATTGACCATACCGAGTCATGAAAAAAGGGTGCAGCACTTAATGTCGTTGTGATGAAAAATTAAAAAAAAAAAAAGAAAAATGAAAAAAAAAATAAAATGCTTCATTTGCATATTGAAATAAATATATGAACTCAAACAAACATATGTAAAAATAATTACACATATTTTAATACATACATACGTAAATACAAATGTATGTGCAACAATTTGTTGCATTTGCCACATGTTGTCTGATTGTAACTAAATAATTTGAGGCAAATTGTGTGACAGCTGTGACAGCTACTACTTATAGCGTCTACACTTTCGTTTATACATATATATATATATGTGAACATATATGTAAATATACATATGTATATTAGTAGTTGTACTATATATGATGAGACCTAACCCTAATGGACTTGAGGCAAGCAATTGTTTAATATGCATATTTACTACTGCCACATGCGCTCTTTATGCCAGTTCTGGCGTGTGGGGTAACATATGAAGATATGTGTGTAAATTTGTATGTATATATAAAATAGTAATTATGAAAGTTTATAGTATGCATTGTTTGGCTTAACGCAGTCGCAACACTAAATTATGCGTCACAGATTTACGCCTACAAACAAGAAGATGTTTTGAAATATATATACATACGTGCATGTGCATATATACGTACTTACTGTATGCAATTTGTATGTATATAATTATAAGCATGTAAATATCTTTACACTTAAATCAAGTATATTATTTGGTTGAAAATTGTTGTCATATGTTGACACAAATTCCATATTTGCCCCATATTTGGGTTTAGAAAGAAATTCAAAGCGAAATTTTCAACATTAAAAATCTGTGTTGAAAGCGCTAAAAACCCAACCAAAAGCAATTTATGATTATGTTGAAATGAAAACAAACAGCTGAACATTTTTTTGCCGCTTTTTATTGTTGTTTTTCCAATTTTTTTATTGTTTTTACCCCCCTTTATTCCTTGTTAATATTTGAGTTGGCGTCAGCACTTGGTGTTTACAAACATGTGTTAATTGCGAGGGATTTCATGAAGGTCATTTTTCATATTTCGTACTTAGAGTTTCTTAAGCTCAAGCTTAAGCATTTGAAATATTTTATGTAATTAGCAACGGGGAAAGTCTGAACATAAATAAGAACCTTAAGAGATTTAAGCTGATCTTGATTCTAGGTTACGAAAGTACTTAGTACGGCTTCATATAGGTCTGGCGTCTCATGCCTCATGCCTCAAGCGTTTGAGGTAGGTCTGATTTCGGAGAACAAATGAAGGAAATGCAAGGAATGTTTGGAGACAGTGGAGCATGTAATCTGTAAGCAACTTGGCAACTTTGCACAGAAAGACTATAAGATCTTCAATTAGCTATAACCAAGAAGGCACAATGCCTACTTAAGTTCGCCAAAAGAACAGCAATGTTCTTCACACTTCAGGCAAAATAGGAGTGTAGCAGCACAGCTTGGTCGCATGTAGTGTGTCTGGCAATACTATGGATGTATTTCGTCTGCCAACTAGTTTAATCTAACCTTACCTAACCTCCATAAATATCAAACTTAAAGCCAATTGTTTCTATTGTAATAACCATACGTCCAAGGTCTGTAATGGACTGTAGGAGACTGGTGATTTACGTGTGGTATATAAAGGGTTTCCAGTAAGAGAAGATATTTTGAATAGCCTGCTATTCCGGTGAATACCTAACAGAGACGGTTTGAAAAACTATGAGGTGTACAGCTTTGCTTCCGCCGTTTTTTTCCAAAATTAAAAGCTTTATTGCGAAAGAGTGCTTACAGATATATTATTCAAAGTATTGTCCTTCGCTAGCGACAACTTTCTCCCATCTTTCGGGCAATTTTCGGATCCCGGCTCGAAAAAAGGAGTTCTCTTTTGACGCTATCCATGAAGCAATTCATTTTTCCAATTCTTCGAAGGATTGAAAATGTTGATCTGCCAGGCCGTGTATCATCGAACAGAATAGGTGGAAGTCAGAAGGGGCGACATCTGGGAATACGGCGGGTGGGGCAAGACTTCCCATTTCAGCGTTTCCAGGTACTTTTTGACCACTTTTGCGACGTGAGGCCGAGCATTGTCGTGTTGGAGGATGACTTTGTCATGTCGCTCTTGATATTGTGGCCGCTTTTCTTTTAGCGCATCAGTTGCGTTCGGTAGCGATCTCCTGTGATGGTTTCACCCGGTTTTAAGAGCTCGTAGTAAATCACACCGTCACTGAAACGGCGATGACCATTCATTAGGCACTGTCCACACTCACTTTAAAGGCATTATCATCTATGTATTTCAACCAGCCTCAGCAGGTACAGCCACCTATCGGAATACGGCGGAAGCAAAGTTATACTCCTGATAGAAAAAAAGTACTTTGTTGGACCTCAACACAGAAATTGGTGTGAAAAAATTAAGTTGTTGGGACAAGTTAGTGTTGTGAAGAATAAAACACGTGCTTGCCGCTCAAGAATGACTGAGAATATTGCTGCAGTAGCTCAAAGTGTTGAAGAAACTCCAGATTTGCCCATTCTTAGCTCGTTCTTTTGGATTGGAATTCCCAAAACGTTATTGTACCGTATTTCGCATAAAGACTTTAGTTCTAAGGCATATAAACTTCACTTAACACAAGAACTCAAGCCGGCCGATCATCTACAAACTTGAGTCTTTGCTTATTGGGTCCTTGAAATGCATAAAAATCATTTGGAATTAAGTCGATTGAATTATAATTTAACTTTTTTTTACTTGGGGGTATAAAAATGAATAATTTTTTAAACTAAAATGTTGATTTTTAATGGAGCAAAGCTTAAGCAATACATAGCTTTCTCGGGTTGTTACTAAATTTAAAAAAAAAAATGTGTCATTAAATCCTTCCAAATCATCCATAATTAGGCGTTGGTGAACACTCATCAAAGCCAGGCCATTAAGACGACTTTCTGCCTTTGTATTTCGCAGCCCAGTCTTTATACGCCTTAAGCTGCTAAATAATCGCTCAGCTGAACAAGTTGCACATGGTAAAGCGTTTTTTTTTATCAGATTCAAAGCTATTCGAATATCGGCATAAAATTCATTTAAGTTCTGAGTTGCTTTAAGAACGGTCATATCAGATGCATTTGTTTTTTTTTTTTGCACCGCCACATTTGTTGCCAAAACTCCTTCCCCTTTTTAAGGCTGGGTAAATGGTAAAATTGTGAAATTATTTTTTATAAGTGAGTCTGCTGACTTTATTTGAATTTTTGCTGGATGTAAATAGAACAGAGAAAATTATACATTATTCTCATTAGAAAACCGATTTCCGCTATTAATTGAGTACAAGTAAGGTATATACAATGACCGCCTCCAATACTTTGAGCTATTCTCATATAGTTGGTTTTTTTCGGTGACATTGCTCGCCAACTCTACGAAGTAGCGATGTCATATCCTCCTCCTGCAACCCAATTTTCTCTGCAACGACTGTTGCATCTCTTAATACTTCATCCGTTATACAATCATTATCATATCGATGCAATTTTAACAGTTATATTATGCGTTTAATGTGCTGCGATGCCTTGACTGTATCCAAAGTCGTTGAGTATTTGACAACTATCGTAAGCCCCTTGCAGCTCAATTCGAAATATTCTCGCGGAAAATCTCGCTTGCGGATTTTAAAATTCCCTAAGAATAAATTTGCCAATTCTGAATGTCGAAGAATGGCAACAAATTCTTCTTCAACGTAAATTAATTCTAGACCAGGGCAAATATTCATGTCGTTTGCCTAGGTCTCCTGCTCCTGCAATCCAAATATCCTCTCGCCGGCAACCATTTCACTGACTCTTTCATACCTTCGCGAGGGTATACTTTACAGGGGGACAGTTTACATGAAGCAGCCCTGTCTTGTTTTCTGACCTTCCAATTTTGAGCCACACGAATTTCTTTTGATCAGGCTACGCCTAAAAGTGAAATGCGTATTAAAAAAAATCGCATATTACTGGAAAAGAAATTTTACCTTCATCCATTGCACATTATTTTTTACGGTTGGTTCCACGCTATTTAGTTCGTTATTCACCTTCTCCGAAAGTTGAGTTCACCCAACACTTTACTGCCCTTAAGAAATCCTCGGGATATAGCCGGTTGAGTTTCCATCAGCTCTACTAGCAACTTCAACTGTTTTTGACCTAAAGAAAATATTAAAACGATTGTTTATGCTATATTATTATATACTTACATTTTTTTTTATAAAAACTCCCACACAACTTCTATGTGAAATAACTCACGGAGTATTGAAATATTTTGATTTTTTTTTTTTGCAATTAAATTATCATATATAACTTGCTTTAAGATGCTGAATTAAAAAAAATGGTGATTACCTTTTACAAGAAAAATCCAATTTTTTAAAAAAATCGTTCCTTCCTTTCTTTCTGCAAAAGGATTTTTCTAAAATTTTTGCTTTTGTTTTGAGCATTTTTGGTCGCAGTCGTCAGAATCTTAGGTGTATAAATTAAAAAAAAATAATTTCTTAGTTTTTAGTTTTATTGATAATTGATTTATTATTTAATCAGAATATTAATTTTGTTAAAAAATATTTTTTTTAAAGAAATTCTACCCTCTGATTAATGGAATGAAAATTAAGCCTATTTTCAATGTACGGACAGTGTGACCGGTAACTGAAACTATACGGAAAAATTTAATTTAAAATTTTATCAAAATGAATAATGAAAAAAGATGGCGGAAAAAAACGTATTGTTGCAGCAGGCGATAGATTGTACACTGGTATGTGAGACACTACTCCCTATTTTAGACATCACGTGAAGGTGAGGAGCTACTTCCTCTTCTGCTCTATCTTAGATCAGGAATTTAGAAGCGGTGGAGGTCAACAACGTCGTAGTGAGGTACTAATTGCCGTCTTTACGGATATATTCTTTTTTAGATAGGACGAAAATCAACTTCATTTTGGAAAGTGTAGCCCCGTGAGAACCAACTCCTCCAACTTTAGGACCAGTACGAAGACGGACCTTCAATTTTATATTATCTTTCATGAATGCCCACCGCAACCGTCGAGCGAGCCGCAGCTACTTAAATTAATGTTACCTGTTGACGTAAACGGGGTAAGATCACCGAAAACGTGACACCTCTTGGTCGGATAACATTTTCTGGACCTTCCATTAGATGACCTCGTCGACTTAGATTGACTAAACCAGTCCCTAAGCGGGGCTAGTGAAACGCTGCAACAACAAAAACAAGAACAACTACAAAAACAACAACAACTGCGACACACAGCGATAAATCATCAGAAATTAACTGTTTATTTTTTGTTGTTGTAATACTTAGTAATATTATATAATGAATATATTTGCTTTATTTCTAAGAAACTCAATTAACTTTCCTTAAAAATTAGTGTTAAATGGGTGTACATACACCGGATTTTTACTGTCCGATCATTAAAACAAATCCGCTCACTAGAGAAATACGACCCATTTTACATTTAACTTTTACAAAAAAAGAAAAAAAACTAATTAATAATTGAAAAATTGCCGTTCTTGGACGGTTTCTAAAAAATTAAAAACTCCAATTCATAGTATCGAATGTTTTGGCCTTTATTTCATGTCACAAATACACTCCGAGGGGTGGACATTCCCTGCCAAGTCGTTGCGGCAAGTAGAAAAATTATTTTTGGATCTTGGACCAAACAGGATTCGAACTCTAGCCTTCCGAATGGCAGTACGCATTGCTAACCGCAGCCAAAAGGCTAATCTTCCGATTATTAATACATTTATACTACATTTATACTGCTGTGATGTCTGCTCATTAGCGTTAGACCAAAACATATGAATAACCGAAAATATATATGTATATATAAATAAATTTAGCAAAAAAGAAAAAAAATTAGAACACCCGATTATATTTAGGTAAATAGAAACATGCCAAGGGAAATTCCATGAACTTTAATCATTTATCGGCAAAAATACTATGAAAAAATGTTATTTTTTTTTAATAACTGCATTGCACTTGAAAAGTCAAGAATAAAAACACATAATTACCAACAACCTTATCGAAGCCACGCAACGCTAATAAAATCAAAAAGAAATCAAATAATTAAGAAATTTATAGGCATTTAAAATTCCTACAAAACGTTTTTCAATTAGAAATACAAAAAAAAAAAAAATTTATATATAAAATAATAGAAAACCAGATAGGAACATATGAAAAAGCCGAGCTGCATATATACGCATGTATATAGGAACATATATACAATATAATATCACCAAAACAAAATTCAAAAATAAAATAAAAGCAATTGCCTTATCTATAGCCACCATATCGAAAAAAATGGGCGTGCACGAAGCAACAGGCAGTCATTTTTGCTAGAGGGAGACATAGCATGTGATTAAATGAATGAAAAAAAGCAGAGGGAAAGCTTTTTATCCGTTGTTTCGCTCACACCTTCGTGCCATTTTCACAATGTACCGAAATTCCAATACATGCCGAAATATTATATCTACATATGTTTGTCCCGTTATATTTGGGGAGTAAGAGTCAAGTCGTTAAGTGGTTGTGAATTGCTAACGGTATGAGTTCAAAAAACAACAACAACGAATACAGCAAATCTTGGAATAAACACAATCAAAGGCCAATACAGCTTTAAACACCACCACAGCGGAACAAGAGAGCATCCAACAACAACATGCGCTGACTTCCAATGCGTCACGCACCACTAAAGTGGTGGTATTGAAGAGCGAATTCTCTGAAATCTCATTCTCGGCAATTTATTCTCATGCAAGGATTTATTCCAATTGGAATACATGCTTATACATGCATGCATACCCACGCAAATACATACAAGTGTGCATGTGTGCATGTGTGCTCTCCTGCCATTCAACACCTTTACAGTTATTTCTATAGCGCACTCACTTGCACTTTAGACCGTTAACAGTGCACATTATAAAGGCGGAACGTGTGCGCGAGTGAAATGATACGAGACAGCCAAAACTAGTCGGGCAAGGGTGCCGGAAACTATCGTTTAGTTCTGTTTGTCCACCACTGATTTGTTGCTATTATCGCGCTGCCGTTATAAAGTAGTCAATGGTGGATGTGGTTATATTTGCTGTTGGTTTGTTGTTGTTATCTCAATGTTATCACTACAATTACAACCGATTAAGTGGCCGGCCTTTAACGTGAGCGTCATTGGAATAAAGCGACGGCACAAACGGCAGCAACGACGGCGCAATGCGTGTTCCGTACGCTCTCAGCACATACATATGTACATAGCGCGCGTTCGATCGCTTCTACTCTCTGCGGCAAGCAATCAGTTTGTGCGCCGCACTTAAACGAACAGTGTCAATTATGTAGCGGTTGTCGCCAAAACGAATGGCACTTTGACCGTACGAAAAATAAAAATAACAACAAATAACAATAGTAGTAAAACCGTCGCTGGAAATCGCATCTCGCTACATTGACAGAGATTTTCGTTACGTGCGTATCTTAAACTTCGCGTAACTTTTTGAACTTCTGTGTAGTATAAACATACATACTTATGTACATGTGCACAAATACTTGCTCGCTCTCTTTTTTAAGTGCTCAGCAGCGCACGACCGCTATAATTTGCGCAAATACTACTTAATACTCATCCTATGGTGCGCGCTCACAGTCAGTTCCCTTCCCACACAGCTGCCGTTAAGCGGGAGTGCATACACACACACACACACACACACACACACAGACACACACCCACATACAAAAATCTACGCAGTCGCTCATCGTAATCGTCGTTACCGTTAGTTGGCTTTCTTGATTTCTTCCAATCTAAGTCGAAAAAATCGCATCAATTGGAAACGTCGGATTGGTTTTTTGCTTCAACCCAGGCCGCACCACTCTCTAGCAAGCAGTTCTCCTATACTTGGGTGGGCATGCTTCCCGTCCGGCTGCTCGCCTTCCATGAAATACTTCGTACTCGACGCACTCACCCACCACCGCCAAACACTGGCTCGGCATAGCATGGTAGCGGTATCTCTGATATATTGAGACCAGAATGGACCGCGTGTGACATACATATGTACAAGTATGCACGTATTTACGTTTGGCATCAAGTAGCGGTTATTTGGTAGCAGGTTGTATGGGACGAGAGCGACAACAGTAGTGCCATTAGGGCGCAAAGTGCGGGGGTTGCAATAACGACAAGTGTACCCTCAAATCACACATATACCCTCGTATACAACTAATGCAGATACATATGTGTGTATGTATGTACGTACATATGTATGTATGATGGCTTGTGAGGGCAACGAGAAGTCTCAGCGCCAGTTTCGGAAATCAGTTTCACTCAGTTTGCGACGTTGCAGATGGTAGCCACTGAAGCAGTGATTAATTTTACTGTTAGTACAATAGATGACGCTGAAGATACACCAACCAACTGGCGGATAACAGTAATACTAAATCTAGATGCTACTAATAAAAAAGAAAAAAGAGAAATGACGTGCAAACGCAATGCGAATATTTAAAATTTCAAAACGCGCGCGAGTCGAAAGTTTTAAATAAACAAAATAAATGAAATAAAAATATTGAAAAACATTGTTTAAAAAAATTCTCAAAGAAAACGTAAAATTCCCCAAAAATAACATAAAAACTCAATATGAACAAGACACGAATTCGATAAGAGTAATTTAAATTAAAAAAAAAAAATATTAAATATGTGTAACTGAGTAACTGAAACCAAATAAAATTGCGGCATTCGCCCAAAAATATTAAGCATTTTTTAGTGTTGCTGTGATATTAAGATTTAAAAATAAAGAATTTAAATAAGTTAAAAAAAAAAATCAAAAAAGTAGAAAAATAAAAAATTTACATTTTGTTTTTTTATAAATTCTTGTATTGATTCCCTTGAAAAATCAGCAAACGCCGAAGAGAAAAAATGGAAATAATCAAAATGGAAACGAATTTACAACAGCCAACTGCACCGTCGGCCGCTACACAAGCAACACCCACACCAGTGACAACACAACAACAAATTTTGCCGACGGCGCCTCAGCCTCCCCACAACAGCATGTCTACAAGTAGTGTTACTCCTTCCGTGCGACAACAATCCCAACAGCAGCAGCAGCAACAACAACAACAACAACATCACCTACCACTCGACTATAGTTTGGGTAATTTTAAACCTGCTGTTGCCTCTGATTTTCCCAGTAATTTTGTTAGTGGCGGCGGCGGCGGTAGTTCGACGAGTAATTTACCTTTACGCGATCTAAATATGCGTTCCAATATCACAACAACAACAATACCAAATCCTACGCAACTTCTACAACAACGTGTTCAACAACAACACGGTGTCAATGATCAAACGCAAGATTATCAGCCGGTGTCGGCATTTAAAGCGGTATTGCCGAAGAAGAAAATCGCCGACGGTAAGTAAAGAGAAGTTGAAAAGTGTGTGAAATTTAATTATAAAAATAATTTTAATTTAAAAAAATATATGTGCAGATTTTTTATCGCGCAAAGTTAGCGATTTGAGCGCAGATATATATAATCGCTTCAAATAAAGGGTGTCAATAGAGATTTTTTAATTTTCTCAAAATAAAATAATACTTGACCTGAAAAAGTGCAAATCTGAAAAATTTTATTTCTTATAAATGATTTATTTTTTTCTGTTTACTGTTACAACTGCGTAAAATACCGATTTTCATGTTCTAATCTGCTCACTTGGAAAACGTAAAACTCAAAATCATAAATCAGCAGAAGTAGTTGTATGTGAATATTAATTATTAATTTACTTCTGATTTAAAATTCTGTAGTGTTTTGGAATTTATATATGTGAGTTTGCAAATCTTTTATTAAGCTTTTTCACAAAATAGCAACAAAAATAGCTAAAATGTTATGAAAGAATTGCATTGTGCGTTGGTAGGGGAATTTAAAGCTAATAAACAATTTTTGAGTAAAAATCAAACTGATTGTTAAGTGATATAAATTTGTATGCGTAGCAATTTTGAATTATTGCTTAAGGTTTTGCTTAAATCAGCGTTTGAGATATTTTCCCACGAAACAACTTTTCATATTTGTCCCGTGCGAATGTACGCTGTTATGCCAGTTTCTTATAAATTGGCAAACAAATAATTCTAATGCCAATTATAAAGTTAAATTAAGGTGAAAATTAAAAAAATATTTTTTTGTTAAATTAAATTATATTAAAATTATATTTTATTGTGTTATTTGATAGGATTAAAGCGTGGTTGCTAAATATAATTACATAGATAATGTGTATATTCAATACAATTGAGATTTTTATGGTAATTTCAAAAAGAAATGGCTAAGATATAGAGAAAGATTTTATTAATTTTTTCTAGTATTTTTTGCGAACCTCCAAAACCCCTGTCGTTAGTCAGTGAAATTCGAAAATATATAAAATTTTAATTTATTTAATTTTATATTCGTCTTGTATGAAAAATAAATCTATTATTTATTACTATCCCTCGAAAAAAATCCAAGCTACAGACCCGCAACATTCCGAAAATGCAAGAAAATTTTTTTTCGGCGTGTACTATTATCTTATTGAGTATTGCAACTATTTTGCAGTTTTTCGAAAAAAGTAATCGGCCAAACAGTCAAATTTTTTAATGTATGAAAAATATTAAAAAATAAGCAAGTCAGCTTGTTTATCTGACTTTCGCCGAAAATCTAGTTGCATGGGATGAACGCTTGTTTGTGAAGACATCTCGGTGTAATTTATGCATATAATCGGGACTCACCTTTTAACTATCATATTCATTAAGTAAATGAAGCTTTCTCACAAAATTCCTTATATATTCGACGTTAAGCTCGCAGGTCAGTCAAGAATAAAAAGTGTGTTTTCTGAACATATTTCAGTCAGTCTTGGCCCCCATTAAAATTAACATATTTAATAATTATTGATTTTTGTTGGTTTCGCCCGAAATATGCCATCTTTAGGCAAACGGTGGCTTGGAAGTAAAATTTTCGTTATATGAGACAAAGGCCTGATAGTATAATATTGCCCGATGGCATTGTTATTCAATATTTTTCGTATGATGTACTTTTTGACCTAAAAGTAGGCAGTGCCACGCCCAATGATATTTTTTAACAATCCTTTAACTTTTCTCTTTAATACTTATCGTTCCTTAAAAGAATTCAAATTCAATTACTGAATTATCAAAATTTTTCGCCTTATCAAAATTATCGTTACTATCGTTGGATGAGCGTGAAGTTGGTTTGAGCGTTGATATTTGTAATGCAAGTAATGTCTGTATCAAGTTTTATGAAAATATCTCAATCCGTACTTAAGTTATCAAACCAATGGGCGGATAGGAAGCTATGCTTAATGGATTCGTAGCTACTTGGATCAGTTTCACATATACAGTGAGTAGCAAAAGTGATTCCACAATAAAAGTTTTCATGTTTGGGAGCAAATTTTTAAATTCTTTGTTTAATTGAAGAAGCTATAGAATAGTAATGATTCAAAAACAAAAACAAACGGCATAAATTCATTATTAATACTTGATCCAGAGATCGTTATTTTCTATGACATTTTTCATACGTTTTGTCATAATTTTAACTAATTTTTCGTATATTCCTTTCGGAATATTACTCCACTCTTGTTCAACACGCCACCAAAGATCGTCCAATATGGATGGGGCTGATTGATAATGTCCGAGCCGTCCATTGACCATAGATTTTCAGTCAGATTGAGTTCGGAACTTTGCGCTGGCCACTCCATCATCTTAAAATTTTGTTTTCCGAGGCATTCTTTAACAATTTTCGCAGTGTGCTTGGGATTCCCATCTTGCTGAAAAGCGATTTTCTGCTTTGGTACGCATACTGGGCAAGAAAATTTGGAAGATTTGGCTTGCAAAATGCTCAAATAGTCTTTCTTTCGCATAATCGCGTCAATTTTGTGCATCGATCCAACGTATGAATACGTGAAACACCCCCATGCCATTATGTTGCCGTCTCCATGTTTCACGGTTTGCTTCACATAATGTCTTTGAAGTTTGTCACTATATTTCCGCCAACAGTATTGCTTTCCATCCAATTGAAAACGATTAAACTTAGACTCATCCGACCAGATAACACGTTTCCAGTCTTCTATTGTCTAGTTCTTATGTACCTTAGCGAATTTTAGCCGAGTTTAACATTTTTCTCGGATAAAGCTGATTTTCTTTCACTGTAGCGATGTACCCACTTCTAGCTGTCCATTGACACACGCCTTTATTTATTTCTGTAGAAGCTTCTTTTGGCGTTAAAAGTCTATTTTTTCTCATTTTAGGCATTATAAGTCGAGCGTCAGAGTCTGTTAGAAGGCCAGGGCGACCATTCAACTTCTTTTCAACACAAACATTTCCTCTTTTCTGCGCCTTGCCTACCACTAATTGACTAATTTGCAGCTTCTCAGCAATAGTGCGTGTCGAGCATCCACTTTTAATCAGGGTGATAATAAATATATTTTCTTTATCAGAAGACATCTTCTTCATTTCTCAGTGAATAGTTAGACACTAAGTTTCAAATTCAACAAATTAACTATAACTAGTGGAAGAAATTGATTTTCTGAATTCTGACAACAAATAATAAATGCAAAAGGCACTTAACGGTAAATCTGCTGGTCTTTTGCTGATGAGAATGTAAGAAGAGCAAAAATATGAGCTAATAACGGATGGGGCAAAACCGAGTACAAGCCGCTTATTTTGGTTTTTAAATCATAACTATTCCATTTCTTCCATTTCTTCTATTCCTTCTATTCATTTACTTTATTCTTTTAATATTTATGTGAGCTCAAACATGAAAACGTTGATCCTGGAATCTCTTTTGCTCCCCACTGTACATACTTATAGGTATGTCTGTTATATACAACGGACTGCTAAGAAACCCTAATATACTCCAGAAAATCTAGAAAATCCTGATATTATTTAATATGATACTAACAGTAATTTAAATTATTCAAAACGGTTGAAATAAAATTAAATTCATCTTGGAAAGGTCGTAGTAAAAGTTATGAATCCTTTTACTGAGGAACATTCTTAGTTATGTTTAGAAAAGTGAAAAATATATTAACATAAATAATTAATATATAATTATAGATTGATTAATTGAAAAAAATCTGTCAAAATATGGAGCAGATTTCTCGAAATACAAAAATGTCAAAAGATCGTTGCAGACGTTGCAAAATATTCTTGATTAGCACCAATTCTAATGTTGTACATACAAGTTAAGCAGAGATGCTGTGTAAATATGTAAACAATAAATCTAAGAATGGATTGCCATACGAAATATTTTTTTTGTGGCAAAAATTTTTCTATTTTGCATTAATATTTTTTTTCTATCATTTACATTTGCATGGCATCGATTGCTTTATGTTTACGAAATAAAAGGTTGTTGGGATTTTATGTCATCTATATTTTGTCAGCACAATTGACTTTAATATAAATTAAACTTGAGTTTAACAAGGTGATGACTAGGGTAACGAATTCATTTTTTTCCATTTAATAAATTCACTTTAGTGTAAATACTGTTAGAATATTTGTTGATTTCTTAAATTTTTTATTTTTTTATTAAAAATAAATAGCAATGTTTAAATGTAATAGCGAAAATTTTCCAATTAAAAAATAAGAAAAATAAAAGTCGTTGTATTTTGTGTTAAAAAAAATGCTTAGCGTTGAGTTAGATAAATTTTCCAAGCTCCACTAGACGATGAAAGTTGCAGAATCAGGAAGAGTGTTTGCCCAAAAGAATTTTAAAGATAGATATGGCATGCGTAGCCCACTTTTTGTCTACGGACTACAAATATATTGAGACGGAAAAGCAGCCTAAGCTGGTACAACGCCTCTGAGCTCAACTTTTATATCGTCTTAAAGCTCAACATTATTCCGTCCATTGAATATGAATATGTAGATAATCAAACCAAAAAAATTGTATATATTTTTCTTTAGAGATTTTATAAATTAAGGCTTATCTGATCTGGTTTGATTAGTGCAAAAAAAAAAAAAAAATTATTCCATTTATTGCCCAACGTTTCGCTAAAAGTTTTAGCATCTTCCAGGCGCTCAAATATCAAAAATTTTGAAATTAATTAAAAAAAAAAACAATGTCATAACCATATTCATTATTACCATAATATATGGTAGCTAAATTCATACTGTTTTTTTTTTTTACTATTTTTGCATCTACACGTGCAATATTTATGTATTGGATGAGTCCATAAGTTCGTGCCCGATTCCGCCCGATTCAAAGCCCCTACATACCAAGGGAAAGGAAAACTCCACAATAAACAAAGATTTCGGGATTAAAATCGTCACCGAGGAAATAGAGAAACTGCTTAAAAATTACTTCTTAAGGTTATCAAATCACCCAAACTTTCTAGCTAAAAAATTATTACAGCAGAACTACCCTAAGCGATTAAAGA